GCTGGTGGGAATGTAAACTGGGGTACAGCCACTATGGAAAACAGTATGAAGGTTCCTCAAAAACTTAAGAAGACAGTTTGCATGTGACCCAGCAACTCCTCTTCTAGGGATCTACCCCAAAAAATTGAAAACATTTATTCACAAAAACATATGCACCCCTATGTTCATTGCAGCATTACTCTTGGTGACCTAGGCCTGGAAACAACCAAAGAGCCCTTCAGTAGATGATTGGATTAAACAGATGTAGTAGATACATACAATAGAATACTACTCAGTCACGAGAAAAGATGAGGTGCTGCTAGTTGCGAAAACCTGGATGGATCTTGAGAATATCATGCCAAGCGAAGTAAGACAGAAAAAGTCAAGAACTGCATGAGTTCACTCACTTGTGGGATATAAAACGGAAAGCAACAAATGAACAAACAAGCAAAAACTCATAGACACAGACAACAGTATGGTGGTTACCAGAGGGAAGGGGGTGGAGGACACTGAAAGGTAGAAAGGATTGAGTGTATGGCGATGAAAGAGACTTGACCTTGGGTGGTGAGCACACAATGCAATATACAGATGATGTATCACAGAATTGTACACTTTGAAACCTATATAATTTTATTCACCAATGTCACCCCAATAAATGTGATTAAAAAACAACTATTTCTACCCTGTCTCCATTTCTATGTCATTATTCACCATGTATGTAGTCACTCCTCACCACGATTAGCTTTTCTAGCACATCATGCCTCCGGGCTCAGCCCTCCGTGAACTGGCCGTTGGTACTGTCACCAGACACTCCTGCCTCCTCTGTGACATCTTTGCTGATGTCCCCATTTTACAGACATTATTTTACTCTCCATTCTCCTTTCTATTCTCATACATGCCTTTCTCCTAGAATGTATCACATCAGGCTGTGGTTGCGTGTTTATGCCTTTGCTACCCCTACAACACTGATCTGTGGGCACACTGAGAACTGTGGGCTTTTCTTTTCAGTTCATTTCCTAAGTGTTTTACCTAGAAGAGTGTCATATATGGATTCAAGAAAGGATTTGTGGGTTCAACACATTTTTAGTAAATACTCATGACTGATATTAAATGAATGAAGCAGTGAGGCATTGTAAATAATAAATATTACTTTGAATGTCCAAAATTCCTATGAATTAGAAACCATCAATATTGCCCATATTTCACATATGCTGCATGACCTTTAGTGATCCAACCTCAAAAGTCACATAGCATCACTTCCACTATATTCATTTTGCCAAGTATTCGTCAGTCCATCCAGATTCAAGGGGAGCGTACCTAGACCCAAATTCTTGATGGGAGAAGTGCCCACTAATTCAAGGCTGTTTTAAAACCCCAGTAACCATCAGAGGATGCTAGTGAACTAACTTACTATTTTGACAATGCATAAATCAAGAAAAAGATGCCCTGGCCGGTTTGACTCAGAGGTTGGAGCATCGCCCTGCAGACCAGAGAGTCTGGGGTTCGGTTCCTGCTGGGGGCACGTACCTTGGATGTAGTTTGTCCCCGGCCCAGGTTGGGTTGTGTGGATGGCAACCAGTCGATGTGTCTCTCTCACTTCGATGTTTCTCTCTTCCTCCCCCTCCCTCCAGTTCTATCTGAAGATACAAAATGCAAAAGAAAAAAAGAAAAAGATCACTGATTCTGCTTTTCTGATACAATTGTATTAAGAAGTGGCCAAATAATAGGTAAAGAGATATTTCCCTTTATAGAAATATTCCAGTCAATAAATGAGGAAGGATAAAATTAGAATATCACTACTTTTGAACCCCCAATGAATCCTGGATCCGGACATTGATCATCAAAGACTATTTAAAAAAGAGAGGTAACCGGACATTACCTATGCTATTGTAGAAGAAGAAAACACTACCTACAAAATAGATTTGGGGGGAAAAATGTCTGATTCATCTAGATCCAACTACCAGCGTAGACTCGCAGAGGTTCTCAACGACCCTTGAATACAGTTCCTCCTGTTGTGGTGACCCCAACCATACAATTATTTTCATTGCTACTTCATAACTGTAATTTTGCTACTGTTATGCTTAGGTGACCCCTGTAACAGGGTCATTCCACCCCCACAGGGGTCGCGACCCACAGGTTGAGAACCACTGGCTTAGAGGAAACAAGGAAGGGAGAACATGTTAATTGATGCCGCAGGGATGTTGTTAGCACAGTTCAGACACAGGGAAACTTTACAGGAGAGTCTGCTTTCCTCAACAAACAGGAAAAGAGAGATGGGGGGGCGACTTACAGAAACTTAAGAGTCATGTCAATGAATCGCGAGTGAATTTTATTTGGATCCTGATTCAAACAAAAAAGCATGAGAAAACAGAAAGCATTTGCGAGACCATTGGAAGTTGAGCTCTGAGTAGATATTAGTGATATACAGATGTTACTGGGTGTTTTGTTTTTTTAGAGATGATGATGTGACTGTGTTCATAATAGAAAGTCTCATGTTTTTAAAATGCATTCAAAAATATTTACAGGTAAAATGATATAATGTCTGAGATTTTCTTCAAAATAATATCAGGGAGGAGGTCATAGGTGGGAACAGAAATAAGATTGTCCATGAGCTGATAATTATAGAAGCTAAGTGATGGTATGAGCGTTCAACATACTATTTCATCTTTGTTTATATTAAACTTTTCCCATAACAAAGATTTTAAATGTATATATCACTAATTCCCCCCAGTGACCTTGGGATCAAGTCACAACTCCTACATAAATTCTCTAATACACTCCATGAACTGGCCCGGGCCCGCCTCAGCATCTTTCATCACTCTCACTCTGCACCTACATTTACACTCTATGAAACTAGTTATGGTTCCCACAGAGGACTATCATCTTGTATACTTCCAAGTATATATCCATTTCCCCTTCTGCAGAATGCCAAGTCCCATTCTGCATCTCCTGGTGGAATTCATTCATTCTGTCACATTTACTCATCGCCAACTGCAGGTACCAGGCTGTCTGCTGTGTGGCAGAGAAGGACACCCTGGAGTGATGGACAGCTACCACTTGACACTCCCAGCTGGCACACTACCCTTCCCAGCCCACCTTTGGCCCTGCGAGGCTAACCCTGTGCTACACTGTATCGGCGGTTCCCTTGTCCTCTAGCTTCTGGTTAGACTTCTCCAGAGGAAGGCACCAGCAGAGGTCCGAGGACAAGAGTTGTCCCCAGCTGCCTCCTTACCAGGTTGGCCCAGGCTGAGTACTTCTACTTAGCAAATACTACTCCTTTCATGTGGTCCTTGCCAAATACTCCCTTCTCTCTCTCTCGTACAGGTGTACATCTGTCTGTGTATGTGTGTGTATATATATATATACACACACACATATACAGACAGAGATAATGAACTGCAAAGTTATAGAAGTTGAAGAGTAAAGAATGTTTTAGAGAGATAGCATGTGCAAAGGTGTACATGTGTCTGTATGTGTGTGTGTATATATATAGAGATGTGTATATATATATATATATATATAGAGAGAGAGAGAGAGAGAGAGAGAGAGATAGCATGTGCAATGGCCCTGTGGTGGAAAAAGAAGCAAGGGATATTCAAAGCTATAGTTGACTTCAGAGGCTACTTAGGAAGAAAGCAAAGAGGGCAGCAGGAAAGGCTGAAGAATCAGAGAGAAAGTCAATCTTGCAGGGCCACGTAAAGATTTAGGTTTTGATCCCGAGAGCAATGGAGAAGTGTCTAATATTCTCCCTGCCCTCCCAAGCCTAGGTAAGCAATCACCTTTTCTTAGACATTTACTTCCTGACAGCTTTCTACCACACAGTTGGGACTAGGATGCTTGGGCACATAGTACACATTCAATAAATGTTCACTGGACCAGTGAATAAATGAATGAGCAAAACATACATGGCCAGGTTTGGGGCATGTTGGGTCACCTCCAAGAATTCATCCTTGAACATGGCCTTCTAAGCTTATTCCCATCTGCTCTTTGTTGAGTCTTCTCCTATATTCAACATAAAGGTCTTTGGAGAGAAAGAGCTATGCATGAGCTACAATCCTGAAAATTAGGTCACCCCTGTACCAATCTTTTATACTTAGCAACCATTGCATTCTACAAAGGGCAGATGAAATGAGCAACATCACTGTCTCAAGTGATGGGCGTTATTGCCATAGTCACACTAAGTCATCTGGTTAAATATCAGTATTTTGAGGTGATTGGGATCCAAGAGATGAGTGAAAAAGAGGGCTACTCTGGCTTGTTTGGGACAAGAAATACCACCTTCCTGCTTTCAAGCATAAGGTACAGCACAAACCAAGTGCTAACCAACAGTTGCAAGGAGAAGCTTTATTTTCATTTGCTTTATAAACTAATCATGTGGTCTGATTTCCACCAGATGGAATGATAGAGCAAAATTTCCATTGGTTTCCTCATTATTCAATAAGTTGAACTACATGTTAAAACCTGCTTGGAATTACACTCACACTATAGACATTTATTTTTTCAGTCAAGCATAGAAAAGGAAAATACAAGGCGATCTCAATACTGTAGAAACCGAATATTAATTAATGTCACAAAAGTGATGCTGTTCTATATTCAGGAATTTTATGATAAAGGAGATGCCCATCCTTACACTTAAAAAGACAAGTTGAAGATAAGTGCAAATGACTACGTTCTCCTTTTCACCAAAAACATCAAATGGCAAAGCTTCTGCATCGGGCCGGGATATGTCTGTGGTAAATGTTTTTTAATTAACATGAGCACTTTGCTTTTAATTCTGCTAGAAAATTAATCAGGAATATTAACAAATAATATTTATTTTTGAAGCTCAAACAAATGTGCATCGTGTTTCTTAGTAACACGAAATAATTTTTGCTCTTGTTTTCCTCAAGCAACACTATTTTGCATAAAGTTTATAAATTGATAAGACAGGAGAGAAAATTATACTGCAGTCCTGTGGAATGGAAAAACTCTAACTGTGGCTAAAATACATTTTATTTTAACAAAATAGCTGTACTGCTCACCAAAGAGGCCATGGTGAATCCAATGACTTCAATATAACCATCATCATGACGCTGAGGTTCAAAATCATGGTGGTCCCCTGGGTTCCCCCAGGGCATTGTACCAGCACAATATCTGCAAGAAAAGATTAGGGACAGAAATGAATTGATTCCATTCCTCTCGTGACTATATCATTAGGGATGAACTAATAGTCAGATCCAACGCTGATTTCGTGTAAGAACAGTTTTCTCTTCTCGGTGCACACCTTCTGAAGGAAAAGGAAACCGGTTCATCATCATCTCCAAAATATCAATCTGTGAAACAAGCATGAGCTTACAACACAAGCATCCCATGGTGCCCAACGTTCCCCTAGTTCATTCTTTACCAATGCTTGTCACTAGATGGTTCATGTATGCCTGCCCTCTATGACATGCCATGGCAATCAATGGTTGGTTTTGGAATTTAGTCTTGGAGGAAGACATAAGTGTGTGAGCCAGTAGAAAAAGGAAAGAGAGTGAGGTGGGTACGCAGTAATAGTACATCCATAAGAGAATAACCACCCACAGCAAACGTATCTGAAGAAGAAAGAAACAATGAAGAAGGGATGAAAAAAGGATACAATATTAGAAAGGGAAGGGGAAATACACCAAATTGGGAAAGTAGAAGACTAGGAATCCAGAGGAGGGAAGGGAAAGACTCAAAGTGAAAAAGAAACATGTAGAGACAATGAAAGTCAACGTTCCCTGGGAATCTCGGTCTTCTTCTGAAACAACTAAGAGGAAAGTACTTCTGGAATAGAATTGTCAGTAACTATACTGAGCACTGCCAAAATAATCAGGAGACTATAATATGGTTTCCTAGCCACATACTTACCTACAATTCTCGTTTTAATTAAATTCAGTCTAAATAGAACTTATTTGCTGTTTGTGTCTGAGTTGCCTGGTTTGCAAAAAAAAAAGGGGTCGCAGATCCATCCCTTCCAACATGTTGGCTTGGGAGCCTAGAATCTAATTTTATGTCACTGAGATATGTGCTTATTTTGAGACTAGTTCGTCTTAAATACCTCCTTTTCCTGAGGTATATAATAACACCAAAAAGAGTTGACATCCTGGCTAGAAAATACTACTCTAATTGATCCTGTTTTTTCAAAGCTATCATCTGGCAGTGATTTTGAATAAATTCCATACTTAAATCAGGCTGGATGGTATCCTAACAGCTTTTGGGAAACTGAGAACAGAAATGTATTCAAGTCTATCATTCTTGGGGGGATCAGTAATTTGAGAATCAAATTAAAATGTTCCAGTAGAAAGGGGTGCCTGGGGTTCGTCAGGATGAATAAGTATAGACCATGCATGCCATATCATACCAAAAAAATTAAAACAGAAACAAAACAAAACAAAACAACAAAACCCACTGACCACAGAGAATACTAAACAAACCTAGTAGGAGAACAAAATGATCCGACCTGGAAAATTTCAACAAGCCACTGAGAAAACCGATTCTCGTAGTTTGTACTGGAAATGTTCTATGATGAAAACAGGTAACCTCAAGTCAAACAGAGTTCACGTCAAGCCAAGGAAACAATACGAACAGAGCTTACCTGGGTATATTTAAAAATACTATACACTGGAACTTCAGTTCCTGAATCTTTGGGGTGAGATCTGTGCCATCACACTGAAAAAGCAAAGCGGAAATAGCAAGGGTTTTGAAACAGTAACACGTCTAAAACAATGATCAAGGACAACTGGTTGACAATAGTATATAACGTGGTCTTTCCCTTGCCCTATCTCTGCTTATTAATGCCCATTACTAGGACTGAAACTTTATTCTGCTTATGGCTTTCCCAGACATAGGAACTACCATCATTCTTAACCTTAGGTAGCTATTAGATATTTAGTCTTGTAGTATCAACATTAAAAGATTTAGAAATGCTTAAAAGACTCAAAAGAATGATGCCTCAAGCTGAGGGAGTAGCCACCGTGACCACAGTCTTCCGATTCAAACAACAGTCATGAATATAATGATTTATTTCGTTTGGTTTTTGAGATGAATTTTTACTTCGAAACATAACATTCTGAAAACTGTTTAGAAGGAATATAGACTGAAAGCTTTTCAAAATGTATCTGTTAGAAATTAGCGCTATCTCATTCGTCACTTGCTCTTATCAAGTTCATCTCTTGCAGACGTGGACTGGTCTGAGAACACCTGCTCTACTGGAGTCTGGTCTTGACCTTGGGTCACAAGGGCCTCAGGCCAAGCTTGGCCTCAAACCTTTGTGTGGGGCTTCCCTCATCTTTAGCGCTTTTCTCAAGAGCATTCTCTGAGTCTGGCCGGTGTGGCTCAGTGGCTGAGCGTCGACCCATGCACCAAGAGGTCACCAGTTCGATTGCCGGTCAGGCACCAGTTCGATTGCCGGTCAGGGCACATGCCCAGGTTGTGGGCCTGATCCCCAGTGGGGGGACATGCAAGAGGCTGCCAATCGATGTTCTTTCTTAGCAGTGTTTCTATCTCTCTTTTCTTCTCCCTTCCTCTCTCTCTCAAATCAATAAAGGGAAGAAAAAAAAAGTATCCTCTGACTAATCAAAGGAAAATCTTCCCTTTCCCTTTCTCACTTACCACCGGTAACAAAAGTCAAAAGAGGAAAACTCTAGTCATGACGACAGACTTCTCAATGTCAAAGGCATAAAGCCGGTTTTTACAGTTGCTCTCCTCCCACGCTCATCACAAAATTTCCTCATTATCTTCTCCTGCGGAGACGGCAGTAAAACATGCCAATCTCTGGGCACATGTTTAAAGATTTCTGAAGGAGGCGTCTCCATCTAAGAACAATGCTCCTGCTAGCAGTCAAGGGTGTCTCTTCTTTTCCCAGCTGATCTCAATACAGCCTAATTCTCACGAGAATTCACAAAAGTTGTTTCCAGGAAACCATACAGTCCTAAATAAATACTTAAAAATGATATTTAAATAGGGATCATATTGTAGACATTGACTGGAGGTGTTTTTACAATAGTCTCAGGTGCTAAGCAAACAGGAAATCTCCCAATGTCTTTAAGGGCTTGAAATGAGTTGATAAATGACTACACAACGAAGAAAAAACGTAGGCATCTTAAACTATCAACGTTGAGTGTTGTAAGCAGCTACAGCAGTATGGTTGCATTACAGAAAAAAAAAAAACTGTAATTAACATTATTATATTCAAAACAAATCATTTTTTTTTAATTTTCAACTTTTTTCTCCTGGGAGGCATGTCAATGATTCTGGGAAGTCATCAAATTATATGAGGATTGGGCTCCTTACAACGCATCATGCTATAGACAGTTTCCTTACATTTTATGTAAACTTTGCAACTCTCTAGAATAGCAGTTTTCAACATTCTCCTTCCTTTACATACAAAGGAAAATATCTACATGTGAAGCATGTTCCTGGGTACAAGCTCACGTGTTGATGTCAACACGCTAAGAAAACACGACAGTGGGCAAAAAGGCTATATGTGGCTTTGTGTTACCATCCTGTTTCTGTGGTGTCGTCTTTATACACACATGTTACATGTATGTGAGAGATCATGATCTACTATTTCGGAAACGCTGACTCCCCCCGTGGCAGATAAGATGCTCTGTTGTGACACGTACACTTCATTGTTCTAGCTGACTTTTCAGCCCATCTCACACTCAAGGAACATACAGCGATGTCACTGTAGAAACACCCTTGTGTCCCTCCGTGTCACAGCACAATGGCCAATAATGGTCTCTTCGAAGGCATGTCTTACTATGCCTGTTTTCAGTGAAGAAAGCAAACTTTTCTGGAAGGTTCAATGATTCTCCCAAAATCATATACTTCACACAGGTAGACCTAGGACTGAATCTCAAATGTTCAGACTTAGTTTCTTGTTTTTTATTTTTTAAAAAAGAGCTCTGGCCAGTCTGGCTCAGCAGTTAGAGCATTGGCCTGTGAACCAATGAGTCACGGGTTTGATTCCAGTCAAGGGCACGTACCTCAGTTGTGAATCGTCCCTGGCCCTGGTCAGGTCGTGTGGGAGGCAGCCAGTCAATGTGTCTCTAGCACATCGCTGTTTCCCTCTGTCTCTCTCTCTCTCCCTCCCTCCCACTCTATCTAATGACAAATGGAAAAACATCCTCGGGTGAGGAATAAAAAAAAAAAAAAGATATGATCACATGAGTTATAAACCACATCACCTGAAATATGACATGTACTGACTGATATGAAATCCCTAGTTGTTTGGCTACCGTGTTGGCCTCTCTGCAAGTCCTTTTAATTCCTGCCGGACAGTCATTCGTGGATGAGACGTTTGTCATCAAGAGGATGGTGGGAGCCAGACCCTGGAGCGGTCAGGGAGCACCCAGGTTTAATTTCAATGCAGCTGACTCCAACAGTGGCTGCCATTCTCCGCGGCCACTGCCGATGGCTCGCTGGCTCCTGGCTGGCGCTGCTATGTTCCGCCAAGCGTGTGAAATAATGGGAAGAACAGAAATGTTCATTTTTGGCTCGTCTGTAGGCAGCTGGAGAAACGGGGAAGCTTGAGGTAAGTTGCCACTACTTAAACGTAATAATGATCATTTTATCAAAATCAAGACCTGCAGAGTTCAATGGACCGTGCGTCTTTCTCGTGTCTACCTTTAAGAAGGCAGTCCTTGTGTTTTTCAAGGGTTGCGACCTGCTTTTCAATGCCACTGCCTGAGAACGGAGACGTCGCTGGGTGAGGCAGAGGGGTCCAGCTCTAGGGGTCAAGGACTCTGACTCTGGCCTCACCTGGTTGCAGGGAGTCGTGTTTCATATTTGTATTACTGGGGATTACAAATGTACACACCCGCATCCCCTTGTGCTCCTGTGTATTCTCTATGCATCCATTAGCTGAGGCTCATATACTTTTCTCTGTCCTCATGGATGTCTTTCATGCTGTCCCCTCTTGTCACATGTTGCATTCTTTATGTATGCCGGGATACATTCAAGCTTTGTTACATTCCCATTCCTTCTTCCCCATCTATGCATTTTCCTTTCCTTTTTCCTTCACATACACAAGTATGTGCAAAGTCACATCCCTTCACCCCTTCTTTTAACTTGGTTACTATAGGAAACTATTTTCTGTCTTTCTTTGTTTGGGGGTTGTTGTTTTTTTTTAATCCTCACCTCAGGATATTTTTCTATTTATCTTCAGATAGAGTGGGAGGGAGGGAGAGAGAGGAAGAGAAAGGGAGAGAAAGAGAAACATCAGCATGAGAGGGACACATTGACTGGTTGCCTCCCACATGACCCTGACCAGGGCCAGGGAGGAACCGCAACCAAGTATGTGCCCCTGACAGGAATTGAACCCATGACTCTTAGGTTCGAGGTCTGACATTGTAACTGCTGAGCCAAACAGGCCAGGTCTTTTCTGTCTTTCTTAATAACTAAGTATATTCTATTTTAAAATATATCTCCTAGAGAAAAGAAAACATCCCCTCTCCCTTGCCCCCAAGCAGTGAGTGTCCAAACTTGGGATAGAGACCCAGGAAGAAACAACAGTGTCCCCCACCCCAAATCCATTCAGTGACGAAGAACCATGACCCGGTTAGAGAGTAGGTCACCACCAACTAACAACATCAAAGCACTTTTGTAAAATGGGAACTCCTCAGACAACCCTGGAATAAAGACATTTGTTTGCTGATCATCTATTCTTCCTTGGAGACCCAACTCAGCATCATTTCTTCATGGACGGTTTCTCTTGACCCCACCGTGGTCGGTTTTCATATCTCCCTTTGGGCTGCCCCCCGTATTACACACACAGTTAAATGACAACATGTATTATATTGTTCTCCATGACTGAACTGTGAGTTTATTCGGGAGTGAAACTAGGCATTTTATTTATCTTCATCCCCAGCAATACAGTTTCCGACACATTGTTAAATGCTCATAAACGTAGGTTGAATGAATGACACTAAATGATTTCTAAAGTTCCGTGTAGTCCGTTGATTAATCTAAGTATATACACTGGTGTTTGGGGTTCGTTTTTTTGTGGCATACATATTCATATGCAAATAAAAGGAGTCAACACAGTCAGTACTTACAACAACTTTAACGTGTTTGGATAGATCTCTAGAGCTTCTCTGTAGGAAATCAGAAAAGGCTGCCTATACCACAGGGAAATAAAGAAACAAAACCTTAATTGCATGGTTATGCCAAATCCTTGCTTCTGAATTAGATAGTTCCTAATGATGCTAAATTATGCAGAAATATAATTTGCAAAATCCAAAGTCAAGGCTGTCAAGTTGAAATCTTCTTGTTTTCGAACTATAGTCTATCACAAAATGTAAGATCACAGAAGGAGAGTAAAAAGAGAGAGAATTCCATGGGTCAGTCTGAACATTTATTTTGACTGCTTTTCCTGACCTTCCTACTTCTCTGTTAAGTCTTGAGAAGGTCTTGCCTCCCCCCTCTTTTATTTCTGCTCCCTCTATCCAGTGGTAAAAATTTAAACCACTCTTATTCTTAACATCAATATTTTAAAGGTATTTTTTTTTTCTCTTTGGCCATTCACCCCCAGAAAGTCCTCCAGCAGGAGTCTCATATAAGCCTCCATGAAAAACATCCCACGCTCTGCCATTTGCTCATCAAAATACTGACAATATGTACCCCTGTGAAAACTACATTCTTGCCCGAGACTTTCCACACATTTTCCAGTCCACCTCACTTCCCCATTCTCTAGGTTGGCTGTTTGTCTGTCACATCACTTGTTGGACATTATCCGCTCGGTACGACATGGAGCCTTGGGGCTTTCAAGTTAAAAGGTGATGAACACCAGCTCTCTTTTTGCCAACTCACTGAAGACATACATCTTTTCTTTCCTTCTTAAACCAAGACATTAAACATTAACCATGCGCAGACCTACACGTACACATCTGAGATGTGCATGCCATCGTTTTTAGTAAGAGTTAGCATCTACATTGCCAACAGTGACTTAGCATTAAATAATATGTGATCATTATAAAATAAAATACATACTCACCCCTGCATAGAACATTTTATTTCGAAAACGGCTGTTGAATTTCTCTGGATTTGCTTCTGTGAAAGGGAAAGGGGGGTTTTGTTATGGAGACCTTATTAAAGGAAGGGACTTCGACTCGCACCCCTACTTTTCCCTCCCCACTCACAGATCCGAAAGACCCAACAGCTTCATTGGCACCTTCCCCTTGGTTGCAGGCAGTGGTCAGCGTTGTCCAGTGCTACAGAATGAAGCCACAAACTGGCAGTACCACATCAACTGGGAGATTGTTTACAATGCAAATTATTCGGATCACCCCAGACCCATGGAATCAGAATGCCAGGGTGTGGGGTCCAGGGGTCTGTGGTTTAGTGAGCTCCCCGGGTGGTTATCATGCACAGTAAAGGTTGAGACACTCTGGGCTCCATTCCGAATAGAGCGTTGGTGGGGCTACAGGGCAGGTGTTAGGGGGAAGGAAGAGGAGGGGAAGGGGTGATTATTTGCTTTGACCTCCACAGGTCCAGGCTTCCATAAACTATGCAGCTTCCAAATGTAACTAAATATGGGGAATTCAGAGAAACATTAATGGGGAATTTGCTTTCACATTTTGCAAAAGCTCCTAATTACCACCTGCACACTTATTTGTGACAGGCTTTCAGAGACAACTGGATTTTGTGGAGATAGGTACGTGTGTGTGTGTGTATGTGTGTGTGTGTGTGTGTATGCAGATCACCTGAATGGACACAGGCCACATAACAGCAGAGGCTCTGGCTGAAAACCAGTTTAATTTTGAGCTTGCTCCTATATGTTAGACATGCTGAAGGCCACAAAAAGATTAACCAAGAATCTGCACCAGAGCCTGGCCGGTGTGGCTCAGTGGTTGAGCATCGACCCTGCACCAAGAGGTTACCAGTTCAATTCCCAGTCAGGGCACATGCCCAGGTTGCGGGCCCAATCCCCAGTGGTGGGCATGCAGGAGGCAGCCAATTTCTCTCATCAATGTTCCTATCTCTGTCTCCCTCTCCCTTCCTCTCTCTCTAAAATCAATAAAGGAAAAAAAAAAAAAAGAATCTGCACTAGAGACTTTTCATAGAACTTCAAGGGATATATAAAATATCGAAATGAAATGTTATTGTCTTGCATTCCCCACTGCCAACATTTTTGCCTTCTGCTATGTTATTCAGTATGCTCATTAATCCCTTCAGAGAGTTAGGTCTTTTCTAAGTCACTGTTCATTAGACTGGCTGACCAGCTAAACTCCAAGTCCGAACCCTGTTTTTGAATGGCAAACCCCCAAAGTTGTTGTCTAGGTGAAGAAAAGTAGCAAAGAGTTCACTCACTAGGACTGGGTTGAATAAAAACTCCAAAATCTCAGGAAATAATTCTGGACAATTAATTATTTGATGATTTTCATGATTATGACAAAATGATATTAACATAAGACAGAGACTGGGTTGAGGTTGGCCAACATTAAAAAAAAAAAAGTTAGTATTTTTATAGATTGGTTTGTTTACAGTTATCTGCATCTATTCTCAGTTCCTGTATTTCAAACTTCCCCATCACCATTCACTCTCTTCTACCAAAGTGAGTACTGTAATGCTAGAAACAAAATGATGCAAAAGGTAAAAGGTTAATTATAGGATGTAGTAAACAAAAAGAAGAGAAAACGATACGAACTGTTCTACCTCCTTGATCCCCACAGTTGGCCCCAGAGTTGACCCTTTTTACGGTCTGGACCTTCTTTGGGATACATTTGGTGGCTGAATGGCTTGTTGTTCTTAACCGTTTTTGACCCCGACTTGGCTGGGTACCATTTTCAGTTTTATTAACTCTTGCTTTATGGAATCAGAGGCAAAATGAGAACTTCTGTTGCTCTGCCATTTATTGTAGGGACAGAGGCCCTCATTTTAAACGAAATCAGATCCAGCTATTGAGCAAATTATAATGAGAAATGGAAAATGACAGCCACAGTTCTGGCAAAGAACCTTTTCAGGGCACGGATGTCCAAAGCTATTAAATGAATCATATACCAACTATTAACATGTACTTTTTTAATAATGTATGGTTTGGAAAATACCCACATTTTCATGAGGTTTTTCTATGAGCCCTGCAGAACTGAAAAGCTTTTTTTTTTTCCCTTTAAAAAAGTGGCTTTTTTTTTTTTCCTCTCAAGAGATGGAAAATGTTCTCTAAGACTCAAAATGATGAGAATTAAGAAGTAAACTGAATTTTTTTGTGATTTCACTCACACAGTTGATGAAAACAGTCACCTCAGATGTAATCTAACTGGATAAAAGATGATTAGATAAGTCATTCTAAAAACTAGAGATCTCTCAAGACACTCGCATCTAGACAGGCATCAGAAGGACACACATAAGGACACACATGGTATGATTCCACAGACAGGAAATGTGCAGGAGAGGCAGATATGTAGGCACAGAAAGCAGACTGGCGGCTGTCAGGGGGTGGAGGACGCAGAAATGGAGAGGGACTGCTCAGTGGGGACAAGGTTTCTTTTTGGGGTGATGAAAATGTTCCGGAATTAGATCATGGTGATGGTTGCACAACATTATGAAGATACCAAAAGCCCTGAATTATATACTACACATTGTTTATAATGAATTTTATGTTATGTGAATGTTTACCTCAATAAAAAATATTAATATGGCCCTGGCTGTTTTGGCTCAGGGATTAGAGCATCAGCCTGCGGTCCAGAGAGACCCGGGTTCGGTTCCCGCTAAGGGCGCGTACCTCGGTTGCAGTTTGTCCCCGACCCTGGTTGGTCGTGCGGATGGCAGCCACTCGATGTGTCCCTTTCACATCAATGTTTCTCTCTCTTTCTTCCTCTCTCTCCCTCCCACTATCTGAAGAAAAAATGGGAAAAAAAATGTCCTTGGGTGAGCATAAATAGAGATAGATAGATAGATAGATAGATAGATAGATAGATCTGAATGCAAAACAAAAGATATAAAATAAAGAGGTAAGGAAGTTAGCCCTGAGGGTGGGAAACATGTGAGGCAAGGTCTATTGTTCTCTCTGCTCCAAACTAGACCTTATACTACTGACTCCCAGACTGAGCCTGCCTTGGCAATGGAACCCTTTTCCCTACGACCCTATTCCAAGCACGAACCAGACTCAGAAACAAGACTGGCCGGGGCGAAGGGAGATGGTGGCCCGTGTGTGAGCTGCGCCCCGCCCTGCAGAAGCCAGGCCAGAAGGAAGAGACGCCTGCAGACGGCGGCACTCAGCATCCCGGCTCTTCCAGGGAGGGGCTGCGTGGCTGAGCACGTCTATGTGCATGTGCAGGAACTCATACGACTCTGAGAAGATCCAAGGTGTGGACCCTCAACTCTGTCAACAATTAGCGAAGGGCCAGTAGGAAAGTGTAAGAGGTTTGCTCCTTAAGGAAGTTGCATCTGTGAATTGGTATGAAATAAACGATGAAAGGCCAGCAAGCCTCAAAGTACCCCGAGACTCCAACAGTGGAAGTATCCATGGTTTACGGCTGCAGTCCCCGGATTTCTCATCCTCTTCTTCCACAAGAGGGTGTGAGACCGAGAGAGACACACACACTGCGGATGTCTGAACCGTTAACCTATTTACAACCTGACTGGACACCAGCACTCATCATACTAGTTTTCGATTCCTACAAACTTGGCAGCTTAAAAGATTCACTGATTTTCTTACACTTCTCTAGGCCAAAAGACTGCACTGGCGTGTCCTGGGTCCTCTGCGTAGGGGCTCACCAGGCCACAATCAAGGAGTCGGCCTACGGAGCTCTTACCGAGTGGCTCTGGGAAGGATTCTCTTCCAAGCTCGTTCAGGTTATTGACAACATTTATTTCCTTGCAATGGCAGGAATAAAGTTTCTCTTTTTTTTTTTATCCTCACCTGAGGACACTTTTGCATTTATCTTCAGATAGAGCGGGAGGAAGAGAGAGAGAGAAACATTGATGCAACAGAGACACATCGAGTGGCTGCCACCCACACAACCCCAACCAGGGCCGGGGACAAAATGCAACTGAGGCACGTGCCCTTAGCGGGAACGGAATCTGGGTCTCTCTGGTCCGCGGGCCGACGCTCTAACCGCTGAACCAAACTGGCCAGGGCAGGAATAAAGTTCTTTTTCCTTGCTGGCTGTTGGCTACGGTCCACTCTCCCCTCCCAGAGGCCTCCTTCATTCCTCGGCTTGTGCTAATGCCTCCCTTGTCAAAGCCAGCGAGGGCCCATCGAGTCCCTCTCACACTTAGAAGTTGTGTGACTTTCCTTCTACCACATCACCGACTTCCTGTTCCACCCCCCACCTTTGCTTTTAAGGGTTCAAGCTACTACATTGGGCCTGCTCAGATAATCCATGATTATTTTTCTGTCTTAATACCAGCTAATTATTAACCTGAATAAGGTCAACAACATCTTTCTGCCATGTAAAATGAAACACCAGAAGCATGACCCAAATGGCAAAAGTCATGGAAGCCAAAATTCTACCTACCATCATCCACCCTCTGGCCCCCATGATTCAGATCCTTCACTTATCAAAAATACATCCACTCCCTTCAAGGTCTCCAGGGGTCTCATCCCCTTACATTATCAATTCGAAATCCATAAATCTCATCTAATTCTCTTAGCTCAAACTTCCCAAATCCCATGATCTAAATCATGGAAATTATTTGGCTCTGGATAGAATTTATTTATAACGATGATGAGGCCCTGGGTATAATCTATTCTATTGATTTAACATATCAATCTCATCTTTATGTACAACACAATGTGTGTGCCATCAGAATAGGATCTTAAACCGTACTTTTGTGTGCAATTCATTCTGCACATTAGGGAGATATTCATAAATATAAGTTCAACACTATGTTCATAAAAATCAGTAAGCAATGTGAACCCTATAAAACTCACCCATCTTTTATATTCTCTTCACTGTTTACCCAATCTTAAGACTTCAGTTTTAGATACATAAATGACTCTACGCCTACAATAACATTGCCATCTTCAACTGAAATTGTATATATTCTTTTTCTTTTTTTTTTTTCAACATCATTTCCCATTCAGGACACATATTTTTTACCAACAT